TCGTGACTTTGTTGACTCGGAACGCAGTGGCTGCCACGGACCTGGGAAAAGTTGTTGTTGACCAAGAAGCACCTTTTGTTCCCAGGTTACCTGCTGCAGCTCAAGAACAAGAACCCGCGGAACCTGGAGCAGCAGATGAAGAAGTGCAACAGCCAGGCGCGCCCGTGGCAGGGCCGGACATGCAGGAGATCCCGATGGAAGGTGAAGTCGTGAAGGTTGGGGATAAGGAGTTCCGTGAAACCTCTAGCTTGCGTGATCTTCGGTGGGCTTGTAGATACCTACGTCTTCCTCAGAGTGGTGCCAAGAGTTTGCTTTGGACGCGGTTGCAGAAGGAGATTGCGCTTAGTAAGCTCAAAGCGGCCGTAGAAGCGAGTGATGCAGTCCTTGCGGAGTACACCCCTGATGTCAATCACGGGCCCCTTCCTCAACGGCCCGACGCTCAAACTGTGATGCTTCATGAGCTGACTCATCTTCCTCGGGCCGATTGGTGCGAAAGCTGCCAAGCTGCTCTTTCGAGGGAGGATGCACACCCCGAGGTGGAACCAAAGCGGGAAATTCCAGTTATCTCTGTTGACTGGATGTTCAATAGGACAGGAGAAGTCGAAAGTGAAGAGCACCCTTTGACAACGCAGTTGGTGGCAGTGTGCCACACCACAAAATACGTCATATGTGTGCCCGTCCGCTCGAAAGCAGCTGAGGACAACAAGCCAGCCGTGGAGGAGCTGACGAAGATGGCTTCGATCCTTGGCTTTGAGAAAGTGACGTTGAGAGGGGACAGTGAGCCTTCTATGAGGAAGCTTTTGCAGATGGTGCAGATGGCCCGAACTAGACTGGGGCTAGCAACAGAGATTGAGCTCGCGAATCCAGACTCGAGCGAGCATCAGGGAGTGAGAGCAGAACGTTACATTGACAAAGTTCGTCGCCTTGGTCTTTGCCTTCTGCACACTGTGTCTGCAAACTCGAAGGTTGAGCTGAAATCTAGTCACCCGTTGTACTCGTGGGCTTTTAGACACTCGGCTTTCTTGCTGACGCGGTACCATGTGCACTCGGATGGTGTGACTTCGTTTGAGCTTGTGCACGGTCGGAAGTTTGATGCCAAGATTGCTGCTTTTGGGTCAGTTGTCTTCTGTCAGCTGATACCCAAGCCGAAGACGAAGGGCATTCCGTGGGAGAAGTGTGTGTACCTTGGTCGTTCGTCAATGGGTTCCTTGAGCATTGTGTCTTCAAGCAAGGGCATAGGCTACGCACGTACAGTTCGAAGGGCTGCTCAAGTATATCAACCGGACGCTTTGCTAGCCATGCGCGGTGTGCCTTGGAACCCCACCCTAGACGTGGTCACAATGAGAGTTCCCCGTGGTGTTCGCCTGCGTGTTCCTGAACTCGTAGAAGAAGTGCCCGCAGCAACATCGCCACGTGAAGAAGCAGCTTCAGATCCGCCTTCTTCCGGAGGGTCAGAGGCCCAATCTGGGAGCCCAGGCGAGAGCATTCTTGCAGGTTTGAGTGGTGCCGCAAGCGCGGCCAGTTCTCAGGAGTTGCTTCCAGCCGACATGGATGTTGGAAGACTTGAGTGGTTTCCTGCTCGTTTGGTTAGAGAGGATCAGCCCCATGGTCATGATGAAGACAGCTTTGTTTGTGATCCTGATGAAAATTTAGAGCCACTTGCTGAAGAAGATCCTGAAAGTGAAGGTGATGTTTTTGAGAACCCAGAGGTTGAGAAGGGAGACGCAGGGATGCCGTGGGAAGGTAGAACTTATGTACAAGGGCCTCCAGAACTTGATGCCCAGGCACTCGAGGAGCTCGACAAGCAGATGGAACTGAAGGAGCTTGATCGTCTCCTTGGCATGAAAGTGCTGAAGCGCATGAATGGAGATCATGAAAAGGATGGCAAAGTTCGCCTTCAGTGCAAATACGTGTTGGACTGGAGGTTTCGGAGTGGTTGGGTTCGAAGGGCCCGACTTGTCGCGAAGGAGTACCGTTTCCTTGAACCCTCTTTGACAGACCTCTACAGCCCAGCCTCCGTAGCGTCCAGCCACAAGCTTTTGGCCTGCTTAGCAGCAGGCAACAGCTCCTTGGAGCTCCTGAGCGTGGACATCACTGATGCCTATTTGCAAGTAAGACAGCGTAGGCCCACATTCATCCAGACGCACATTGGTGACCTCGAACTATGCTACAATTTGCCCGGCCAACGAGCCGGAGCAAAAGATTGGTTCATGCACCTCCTTGAGATCCTTAAGAACAAAGGCCTCAGCAGCTTTGATGGCAACCCCGCTTTGTTTTGCAAGGAGCAAGCTTTAGCTTTGAACAGCCACGTAGATGACATGCAGATCCTGGGGTTGAAAGGTGTACCAATGCAGTTGGCCAATGACCTCAAGTCTGAAGGGCTGAAGTTGAAGGTGGATGGTCCGGTGACTTTGGATGGTGGTTCCTCACATTTTCTCAAGAAGAAGTTTCAAGGGCTTGGAGATGCAATCGAGGTGACCCAGGATGCCAAGTACGCTGAAAGGTTGCAGTCAATCCTTGGTTTGGAAAAAGCTCATGGAAAGCACACCCCATGCCCCTCAAAAGTTCCGTCTCCAGGTGAAGGCGAACGACTAGATGGTGAAAGCCTCCAGGTCTACAAGCGTTGCGTCGGCATCCTCATGTACATGTGCGCAGAGAGACCGGACTTGCAATACGTTGTGAAGGTTTTGTCTTCAAGGTCTAGTGCACCTACCTCGTCAGACTTTGGTCTTCTTCGTCACGTCGTGAAATACCTTAAGCTCCACCCAGTGATCCCCATCGTGTTGGAGAAGACGGTGCCAGGTAAAACTTTGAAACAGAAGTGGGATGGAGTGGACCCAGATGAGCCCAGTGACCCCAGCATGCCCTTTGGTCGTACACATGTTGTGGAGGTAGTGACAGATGCAGATTGGGGAAGCCAAGCATTCTCCGATAGACGATCGATATCTTCATATTGCATCTTTGTCGATGGCAACTTGTGTCATGCAGGCAACAGAGTGCAGAAGGTGATCAGCTTAAGTTCGGCGGAGTC